CTGAATAGAGGCAGTCATAAAGACAATGGGGGACAACTGGAAGACAACAGAAATAATAGTTTTGGGGGTCTTACCACGTGTTAGGCACTCTATGAAGCACTTTACAATGTATTAACTCACTGAATCCTCACAAGAACATTATGAAGTAGGTGTCATTATTATTCTCAATTTACAGATGTTAAGTAACTTATTCAGAGACATTCAAGTGGTTAAATGGTGGAGCTCAAAAATGAATTCAGGTACTCTGAGTCTTGAATTGTGTGCACTTAACCAACCACAGAGCACTTAACCAACCACAAAAGTATTTCAGTTTTCTTTGACACATCTTTAATGACTGCTTGCTGATGACTATATTATCATTCAAAAACTCAAGCTTGTTTATGTAAATAGGTCATTAGAGAAAGTAGGGCCTAAAAAATCCCAAATAGATAAGCCAAAGAACTAGCAAACTGCCATTTAGTATATATATACTCTTGGGGCAAGAATTTCTAAGGGCTTAAACAGAAGGCTCCCCAGAGTGGCTCACCATGCTCAGTGATAAAACAGAACTACCATGAGAAGGTGCTCTTCACACTACACACAGAGGTATCCCCTCCCACTTACCCCATTTAAGGTTGCCATTCAGACTCTTCACAATAAGCTGAAGATTCAGAAATAGAATAATTTTTCCATGTTGATTCTTCCATCATTTCCCACAAATATTAAAATTATGTAGATAGAAAAAGTTGGCATAAAAAACAACACAATCATAGAATTTAATAGGATAGGAACTCAAACTGTTCATACTGCAGAAGACCTGAAAAGGCTGCTGAGTGCTTTACCCAAGGTTACACAGACAATTAAGAGCAGAACACAATGCAAGTTACTCTCAATCCGGTTCATGCATATCACCATGCTGTCTTGATGTGCCCTACTATACAGAAGTCTCATCCCCTTCAAGAGTCATTTGAGAATTTGTTCAGACACATCAACACAAATCTGTATATTGATACATTACAGATCTATACACACCCTCTACTGACAGCTATTTGAACTCAATCTGAAATAGAATTTTTTAAAAAATCACAAAGCATTTTAAAAGCTTACTGTTGAGATTCAACAAATAGTAACTAATTTATCTATTTTGATTTTCCAAATACTTCAACAGTAAATAGATCAGCCTTTCTTGTCCAAATATCTAAATCCGTGTTTCTCAAAGTATAGTAGGTACCAGAATCAGAGTCACATGAGGTACTTGTTAAAAATGAGATTCCTAGGGGTGCCTGGGTGGCTCAGTCTGTTAAGCATCTGACTCTAAGCATCAGCTCAGGTCATGATCTCAGGGTCATGAGATGGAGCCCTGCACTGGGCATCCAACTCCGCATGGAGTCTACTTGAGATTCTCTCTCCCTCTGCCCCTCCCCCTGCTCTCATGGGCATGCTCTAAAAAAATGAATAAATTTTTTAAAAAATGAGATTCCTAGTATCATCCCCAAATCAACTGAGTTTCTGAAACTCCCAAAACGTCATTTTAAAAAGTTCTTCAGGTGATTCTTATTCATTCAAAAGATATTTATTGAACATTCACTCTACAATATTCTAGTAAGAAACAGATAAACGAGTAAACAAAAAAACATTTTAGATTTTAGCTGTGTCATGAAGAAAAAAAGGTAATAAGAGAGTGACCTCGAGGACTACTTTAAAAAGAACAGTGAGGCACAAGGTTTTTTAGGGTGATGAAAATACTCTGTATGGTATTATAATGATGGATACATGTCATTATACATTTGTCCAAACCCAAAGAATGTACAAACACTAAGAGTGAGCACTAATGTCAACTATGGACTTTGGCTGATTATGATAGGTCAATGTAGGTCCAACAACTGTGACAAATAGACTACTCTGGTAGGAGATATTCATAATGTGGGAGGCTGGACATGTGTGGGGACTGGGGATAAATGGGAAATCCCTATTTCTTCCTCTTAATTTTGCTGTAAGCCTAAAACTACTCTAAAAATAAAGCCTGAATTTTTTTTTTTTTTTAAGAGGAGACAGAGAAGGCCTTTCTGAGGAGGCAATATCTGAAATGAGGAATCCTTCACTAAAGAAAAGTGGTACTTAAACTTAGTGTGCATCAAAATCACCTGGACGACTTGTTAAAACAGATGGCTGGTCAGAAGGTCTGGAGTGGGGCCCAAGAATTTGCATTCCTAACAAGATCACAGATGATGCTGGTGCTGCTGGTCCAGAAACTACACTTGGAGAACCACTGATCTAGAAGGAACAGCTAAAAAGTGTGAATAACTTTGGTGTGTTAGAGGAACAGAAAAAAGGCCAGTTAGAAGGAAGGGTAATGTATCTGTCATTGTTTCAAAACCACTTAAACATGTTGACTTAAGTTACCAGTTATGGCTCCCTAGACCAGAGAAGGAACCAGTGTTCCATAATACTTACATTTGCAAAGCATTTCACAGTTTATAAAAGTATTTTCATATTATTTCATTTGACTTAGTGAGATGTAAATAAAGGACTATTAGCTACATTTTATTTTTTTATATTATTAGCTACATTTTAGATAAACTGAGGCGCAGAAACATTATAAACCCCCTTTACAGAAAACAGTTAAGTGGCAGAACTGTCCCTTGACCCCAAACCCAGTGTTCTTCTAGAATAGCATGCTTGCTTTTTTAAAGAGCAAAGCAAAGGACACATACAGGAGCTAATACTAACAAATTATTTTCTAGACTCCCTGTCTAAAAATATAGTGACTTCCAGACTTAATTTGTTTTAGTGACTGGCTGGAAAGCAACATTACCTTAAAATGACAATATTTAGTCCCATCTACTTACTGCTCCTAGTGCAAAAACAAAGGATGGAAAATGAAGAGGGAATTCACAGACTATTACTCTCTCTCTCCTGCATAAATATCAGAGAGCCAATTTCACAACCTCAAGTCCCTCAGCCACATCAGTCAAACACAATTTTCATCTTGTGTTCTCTCTAAATCTCTCACCTAATCCAGGTTCCCACAAGAACACTGAATCCCACACATCTTGCCATACTCATGAGGCCATGAGCAGTTAGTTATACACCCATTACCCACCCTCTATACACCCATTATCACTTCGTATCTTCAACATCAATCAAATCCTTATTCTTAACATAACACTCTTACCTGTATGTCTCAATAATACTTCAAACCCAAAACATCCATAACTGAAATTATATCCTCCTTCCACCACACACACACACACCTGCTTCTGTTCCTGAATTCTTTTATTTGCATTAATAGCACTGCCACCCACCAAACAAGAAACCTGGAACTCAGCCTAGACACATCTGTCTCCCCAACACCAATCTTGACACCCCCCATCCACACTCCCATGGCTACTTAGAATTAGTTACTACAAATTAAGTACCTGCCATTTCATTAATAACTACCATGTACTAGTCACTTTACACACTTCATTCTATCAATAACCCCATGAGGTAGCTAATTCTCTCATTTCACAATTGAAAAAACTAAGGCTAAGAAAAATTAATCTGTCCAAATCACAAGTGGGACATGACAAAGTAGACATCCAAACTCAAATGTGTCTCACAAAGTCCATAACCCTCCCCAATGCCAAAATGCTTCCTTCTTTAATACCTCTTATCATTTATTAATTCCAAATGCTCATTTCTCTATATTACTGTCAAGATTCCCTACCTCCCCTTCCTTATCCTTCAATATGCCCCCAAGTGATCTTTCTGGATCACAAATGTGATCCTTTTATCCTCTTGATAAAAAAGCCCTTCAGGGACTCCTTTTAGTCTACCCTGTACAAGATATACTTTACAGGCTTAATCCCAAACCCTTTAGTACAGATCAGTCATCCCTTACCCGCAGTTCCAATTTCAAGAGCTTTGAAAAGTTTTTCATAAATTTACAACAAAATCCACCCTGAATTGTGATAAGTTATTTATGTCTAGCCCATTAGTGGGATATTTGTACGTTTCATGGCAAAAACATTAATGTATTTTATAATGACTAGTAAACCTTTAGCTCCAGGGATGTGTAAAGTACCCTGTGCCCTGAAAACTCCCCAATCCAGTGAGCAACTCACCCTTCAAGAAACCTTCTCAAGGGTTTCCTTTTCAGTGAAGTTCCCCTGACCTTCTCTTGATTTGTCACAACCACTGTACCAAGTACCCACCGCCACTGCCGCACGTTGGATATGTTTCACCTATATGACTATGAATGAGCTCTTCACTCAGTGTTTTATTCAATCCTAGCACACTGTCTGGAACACTAGGGGCTCGTTAATGTGCAATGAAACCCCGCTGTCTCTGAATCCCAATTCCCTTCGAAGTTCATTTCTCCTTCACCCCTGAACCTTAGAATATTTCCCTAAACATGCAGGCCCTTCAAAGCTATTTTCGCGTCCAGAGTTCCTCCTTCCCAATCTCATCCTAAAATTACTTTCCACCAGACAGCTTCTCTCAGCCCCAAACGCTCCAATACCCTTTATCTTCCTCTATTTAGTCCCTAGTCCTTCTTTCCCCTAGCCTCGAACAGGTCAAGTCCTTCCCTCCAAAGCAATTCGTCCTCACAGCCCTTACCGCTTACCTACTCCCTCCTCAACACCTCTCCCGCTACAGGCCTTTTCCCCCCACAACACTCCTCCAAAGCGGTTTCCCAGACCCTCTCTCCTCTCTCTGTCCGAGTCCACCAGCTCCCGAACCTGCGCTCGGCCGGAGTCCACGCCTTCCCGGCCCGTATCCGCACACCCTAAACCTCCCTTGCAGCCGGTGTCCCCTCCCCCAGCCTCTCGCCGCCGGCACCCCTCCCTTCACCCTCCCCTATCTCCGGCGGTCCACCTTCTCTGGAAACTGTCCCGAGGCCGTGTCTTTCACCTCTCAAGACGCCTCAGAATCGCGCCGGTCCGAGCAGCCCCGGGCCCGAGCACCTCCATCCCCAGATCCTCCTCGGCCCCGCAAATCTCCTTCAGCCCAGACCTCGGGCAGGGCCTCCCGCTCACCTTGCTGGATGTCGCCGTTGCTGCCCCCCGGGATGGGCACGCTGAGCTGGCGCTCCGGTTCGGGCAGGCAGCGCAGGCAGAAGGAGTGAAGGCAGGGCAGCAGCTTGGGCTCCGCCTCACGCCGGCTCTGCAAGCTCTGCTGACACACGGCGCAGGTGTCCAGGAGCGAGGCTGGCGGTCCAGGAGGCGGCCCCGCCGACGGACCCGGAGCGGGAGCCGAGGCTGGAGCTGGGGCCGGAGTCGATACCGCCCCCCCGGGAACTCCGGGGCCCACTGAGGCCGCAGGGGCTGAGGCAGCCGGGGCCGAGCCGGAGGAGGCCGCGGACACCCCCCCGTCGTCGGGCCCGGCCGCGCCGCTCTCCGCGCCCGCCCTGCCGCCTTCCTCCTCCTCCTCCTCTACCAGCACCGCGGCGAGAGGCGGCTCCGCCTCCTGCGCCGCGGGCCCGGCGGCCCCGGCAGTTACCGGCGCGCTACCGCTGCCCCCGCCGCCGCTCTCAGCCTCGCCGCCGCCTTTGTTTTCCGCCATGTTTTCCTCTTTGAACCCGCCGGACCGCCCCGCGCCGCCCGCCGCCCGCGCCGCCGCCGCCGCCGCCGCCGCCCCCAGCCCCAGCCGCAGCCGCAGCGAGAGCGGCAGCCGAGAGCGAGCAGGCAAGCGAACGAACGAGAGCGCGCGCGCACGCGGCGCCCCCGCCCTCGCGTCGCGCGGCTGAAGGGGGGCGGGCGCGGGGCGCGCACGTACGCACGGACGTCCCCCGGAGGGAGGCGGGAACTTGGGGCGCGGGCGGGGACTCGTCCTCGCCCCCCCACCCCCGCGCCCCGAACTCCGGCAGAGCCGCGCTGCGTCCACGCCGCAGCCGCTCGGCTCGCTGGGAGCGTTTGAAGCCAGTGGCCGTTGACGCTGAGCCGCCTTTGGCCGGCAGTGGTTATGAGCTCCGACACGGCGGTGGTGCGGGAAGAAAAGCGGGAAAGCATAGAAGGCCGGGACCGGTCCCTTCCGAGCCAGCGTCTCCCGGGCGGCGCCGTCCCCAGAGGCTGGCGCGTCTCGGCGCGAACCTCACTTGCCGCAGGGTCGGACGCCGTAGCCTGCTGGCTCCGAGGTGCGGACCTCCTGGGGCTCGGTGCCTTAACCGGCTGCGTTCCTTTGGGTGGTTGTGCCTCAAGGGAGCCATGAAACGGGGCCTTTTTTTTTTCCCTCTCTTTTATTGGAGGCCTGCCAGAAATAGGCTGAAAAGATCTCGTGAGGAAGAAACTCTTGAACAGCTATTTTCAGCTTCTTAGGGTGATTGATTCTCAGACGTTTGCTACGTATCAGAAAACCAGCTGAGGAGCTTTTTCAAAGCGGAGATGTCAGCCACACCCCAGACCTGCATCAGGAAGTGGGGCGGGGTGGGGGAGGAGAGGGCAGATGGATGTTGAAAAGTCGCTTCAGCGGATTCCGATGTGCGTCAGTTTGAGGAGCCACGGATCTACCCAATATTATGTCCTGAGAGTCCCACTTAGTGTTCTGGCGTGAGTTGGGTTCCAAATGCCCTAATAATATCGGTAATAGAAGCTTTCAGGAAGGTTTGTATTTGAAAACAAGTACTCGGGATGTTTATGTAGTGCAGCGCCTGTTTTAATATTAGGGTCATGAAGTGCTTTCGTCTTCTGACAGTGTTCCCAAGGAACTGTTATTCTTTGAGCTTGTACCACTCCTTAAAATAAGCCACCTCGAAACATTTTTCATTTATTCGCTCAAAAATACCGACCTCTTACTATAAGTAATTAGGGAGCGTTTTAGAAATTACAGCAGAAAGGAAAGGAGATCTATGCTTTCAAGGAGTTTGCAATCTAACGGAGATTGACAATAAATTGATTGACGATAAATATATGCCAGGGAGTGATAAATACTATGAAGACAAAATAAGAGTAACAGAGATCAGAGATGACTGAGGAAGGCCTCTGTTGATAGATGAACAATAATTGTGGTTCTTGCAGAAGAGTGTTCCAGGCAGAGGAACAAACAGTAAGTACAAATGATCTGAGGCAGACAGGGATTCTTGGCTTGCTAGAGGAACAGCAAGGAGTCAGTTTGAACATGGGAGAGAGTAGTAGAACATGAGGATAAGAAAATTAAGGGGGCCAGGTCATATACAGAAATAGTCCTCAATTTTTTAAACTTCTGTGCCCTTGGAAAGAACTTTGAAAAACTATTTTTTCAAACATTGTAAGTAGTTGACTCTAAAAGTTTTCATCATGCCTGTATGTAGTTGCAAAGAGTGCAGTAACTGACATTTTGCAATACTGACGTTTTAAAATTGTTAAATTACTTTAAATCTATCCAATGGAAGAGTAAACAAAGTGGTTTAACAAACACCACCATGCAGTTTAAACACCAACATCCATCAAAAAATGTTATATTTGGGGGGTACCTGTGTGGCTCAGTTGGTTAAGCCTCCAACACTTGATTTCAGCTCAGGTCATGACCTCCTCAGGGTTGTGAAATCGAGCCCTGGGTTGGGCTCCGCGCTCAGCAGGGAGTCTGCTTGAGATTCTCTCTCTCCCTAGCCCTCTGTCCCCCCTACTGCCCCCTTGTGCTCTCTCTCTAAAATAAATCTTTTTTTTAAATGTTGTATTTTGTTAAATAAATACTAAACATGGAAAATAAGTTATTGGGATTGTCATAATGAGATGGCTGGCAGTTTTGTTTTGTTTTTTTCAATTAGTTCATGTAGACCTGGATGTGTATAAAATTACTAGGAGGAGACAGGGTCCGGTATCAATTCCATTTTTCATTTTTATAGGTGTAATAAGCACTGTATTTAAAAAAACTATATAGATGTGTGTACATATGATTTATTTTTTTATATGTGACTAATTCCCTTAAAACTATCCTTAACTTGTACCCCTTGGAAAAATTTCCTCTGCTGGAACATCCAAGGAGTACTCCTAACCTAGTTTTAAGATGCTGAGATGGGAAGGCTTGGATGAGTTTTGTGAGCAAAGACTCAAAGTAGTGAAGAGTCACTGTGGCTGCTTCATAGAGAAATCACATGTAGGGGTTCACAGTGAGGCTGCTAATAGAACAGTCAAGGAATACTGGCTTGGACCTGCATGGTATCTGTGCAGATGGTGAGAAATATGGAGTATATATAATAAAGAGCAAATAGACTTTTCTCCAAATTCACTTCAAAAAATAAGTTAATGGGGCTAAATCTCTCAACCGAGTTTTCCTTCCTTGAATTTTTCTTAACCTTTTAATGCCTGCTACCACTTGCCTTTATTAAAATCTAGTATAAAAGTGTTTTTGAAAACTCTAATTTTATAGAGAGGAAATTGCCCCTCATGAGATTTACAGTGTGCCCTGAAAAGGCAGTACATGGAATTAAGTTGTCATGGAATATTTGGAGACATTCAAACACATACCCAGGTACATCTTGGGACGCCTGGCTGGCTCAGTCAGTAGAGCATGTGACTCTTGATCTTGGGTTTGTGAGTTCAAGCCACACATTGGATGTAGAATTTACTTTATAAATAAATAAAGAAAGAAGGAAGGAAGAAAGGAAAGAAAGAAAAGAAAGAAAGAAAGAAAAAGAAAGAGAAAGAAAAAAAAAAGGAAGGAAGGAAGAAAATAAAAACCGACCAACCAGCAGACAGACACCCAGCTATGTCCTTGATTTGCAATGGTAGCTCAGAAATCTTAGGGGAGAAACTGAAACCATTCATGAGGCTGAGACACCATATGCACAAACCCATCTGATGGAGAATGCATAGCATAGAACTGAATGTATGCCCTGGAGGCAAAATGCCTGATTCGAAGCCTGATTCCACCACCTACTAGCTATGTGATTTGGGGTAGCTTACTTTACTTGCCTCAGTTTCCTCATTTGTAAAAAGGTGTTTGATCCTAGTAGGACCTACCTTAAGGTTGTTTGACAAATAGGTATTTGTAAAGTGCTTACAGTACCTGGCACATGATAAACTTGAAAGGAATATAAAACAGACCCAAAGGTCCTGAAGGGGACTGAACTGGAGGGAGAAACAAAGGTACCTCAGAAAAATCTCAAAAAGAGAAATTATGCTATGGGCTAAACTGAGCAGTGGGTATAAATAGAGGTTGTGCCCAGCCATTCCCCTGGATAAGGCTGCCTTTTACCTCTGATCCTCTTGCACGATCATTAGGAGAAAATAGTTTTGAAATAAAGGAGAGCTATCTGTAGGTGCCTAGCAGCTCTGCTATGGAGAAAAAAACCCTGAAATTGTTGGTACCTGGAAGTGGAAGAAACTTTCCAGTTGTCCAGAAAAGAAAATGAGCACTAGAAGTGAATGATATTAAGTGAATTAGCGATGGTGAGAGCATAATCCATTGGCTGGGCACAGGAGGTTTGCCACAATAAGGCAGCAGCCCAAGAGTAGCTTGGAGACTTACTTGTAAGGACCGGTTCTGCAGCTCTTTGGCAGAGCAAGTGTGGTCAATAGCAGGAGCAGAAGAGTGCCTGAGGGCCAGCAGAGGAATGCTGAACTGCCGTTGAGATTTGGGGCATTAATTTTTTTTTTTTTAAAGATTTTATTTATTTGACAGAGACACAGCGAGAGAGGAAACACAAGCAGGGGGAGTGGGAGAGGGAGAAGCAGGCTTCCCGCTGAGCAGGGAGATCAATGTGGGGCTCGATCCCAGGACCCTGGGATCATGACCTGAGCCGCAGACATTTAACGACTGAGCCACCCAGGCGCCCCGGGGCATTTCTTGAATGTCATAAAATTACCCTCATGAGTGGGTGAGGCCATCAGGTCTTAAAGGTGAAATTTTGTGATTTAAGGTTCACTTCTCAACTTCATAGGCACATGCACCCCGGACTTAGCTCGTCCTTGGACTTAGTGGGATGTCCAGCTTCAGAGCAGGAACCTTCCTAACACAATTGTTGAAAGAGGAAATAAAAAGGGGTGATGTTGAGAAGAGCAAATTTTTGTCCAGAAGTGAGTCCAGCGCCACACTGAGGAAAAGGAAGATAAGCACAAGAAATCTCCCTGGTTTATTTGGGTAGAAGACCTGTCAGGCCCCTGGATTCCCAGACACCAACAAGAACAAAGGCATCACCTGGGGAGAGGTGTACTTAGAGTATCCCAAGAAGTACATCCCTGGAACAAAATTGATCTGCTAGCATTAAGAAGTCAAAAAGGCAGACTTGACAGCTTATCTCAAAAAAGCTATTGAGTAATAGTTGGCCACTGCCTTATTTCTTACAAAACAGAAATGTCTCGACTTCTTTTAAGTGTAACTTAAAGTGATCTCATGCAGGGACACCTGACTGGCTCAGTCAAGAGAGCATGCAACTTTTGATTTTGGGATCCTGAGTTCAAGTCCCATGTTGGGAGTAGACCTTACTTTAAAAAAAAAATTGAGGGGCACCTGGGTGGCTCAGTTGGTTAAGCAACTGCCTTCGGCTCAGGTCATAATCCTGGAGTCCCAGGATCGAGTCCCGCATCGGGCTCCCCGCTCAGCGAGGAGACTGCTTCTCCCTCTAACCCTCCCCCCTCTCATGTACTCTCTCTCTCTCATTCTCGCTCTCTCAAATAAATAAATCTTTAAAAAATAAAAAATTAAAAAAATTGATCTCATACACTAGAATT